TATTTTCTCTTAAAACAGCACATGCTTTGAAAAAATCTTGAGGTGCACTAATTTTTAAATAAAGTTTGAGAATTTGGGAAATAGCAGTGCCACTAAAAACATCAGCCTTTTGTAAAGAATTATAATATCCCTGAAAATCATTAGAACTGAAAATCTAAGCAAATTCTTTATGGAAAACATGGCAAAATATAGATAAACATAACTAAAAATGGAAGTCTGAAATTGCTAATTGAGGTAATATATTTAGGAGAATAAACCTAGTATTAGGGCTGAATCACCAATGTACCAAGATGGTATGTGCTAATGGGACTTGAATCTTAGCTGCACAAAAATATCAAGTATACTATTTTCCAGTCCTCCAAAATGTTCAAAGCACTTTCAAAAACAAAGCTCAATAGAGGTTTTTGTCTTCCAGGTGAGAATATGCACAGACTGGGCCTCTGAAGGAAAGATTGCAATAAGGAAAGATCGCAAATTATAGCCTAATGGGAAAGGCGGTGGAATACCAAAGATGAACTCTCTGGACATCATTTCTTTTACCTAGAGCTAGTTTTGGTTACATGGTTCTTTTGTTGCAAGTTGTAATTATCCCCAGTTATGGTGAATTTATTCAATGGATATACATGCTCAGTTATTTAAAAAACAAAAACAAAAACAAAACCAACCCAACTTCCAGTAGAGTACAGCACAGCAAAAAGATGTTCACTTCAGTGTCTCACCATTCTTGTGATTCAACTACCTGCTACCAGCTAACGAATTAGTTTTCTACATCCATTATGCTGATTATTGTAAGGTGTAAGGATTGCTGCTGCATAATGGTACATAGAAGAACATGTCTAGAATTTAATGCCTCTTGGATACTGTGCTAGAATTAAGAGTATATTAGGAGTATATATAACACACTAATTATGAAGATGAGGGAAGATGAAAACAGTGTTAAGGAATGGACCTTCTAATATTTGTATATTAAGTTAAAAGAGCTAATGGTAAGCTACTGGGAATGGTCAATGTAATTGTTAAGAAAAGACTCTTGAACAGAAGGGGCAATCTGTCAGGGAAGTCTTTAATTAAGTGTCTTAGCAAGATCTGGTAATGGGGAAAGAAAAACATTCCAAAGCCCTCTTCCCTAAGGAGGAGATGGGAAGGATAAAAGGATAGGGAGGAAATGAAAGTGTTCTAAAGGTCTATTTTAGTAGGTGAGAGCATGATGCTATGTAGAAAGAAAGTTCTCGGCTAGGGAAGTAGTTGTTACTTTGTTATCATGCAATAGTGCTTGATTCTAAATTCAGGAATAAGGAAATAATCCTTAATGCATATCAGTTAGAACTTTCAAATTATCAAGGATCAGCAAAGCTGATTTAGTAAAGGAAAAGAAAAATGCAAGAAACACGGTAACATAAAATAAGAGAAACATAAGAAACTTGTTCTAGATGTCAAGGAATAATATAAAACCATTTTGATTAAATCATTCTGGTATTGATAGTAATATAAAATAGGTAATGGAAAGAAATAAGAATCCAAAGTAGATCCAGAAATAGATACAGGAAATCTCTCTCTATATATATAATCTACCTCCTCTGTCTATCCGTTTATCTTTCTTCAGTAGGAAAAGGATGATTTAATAGGGAAATTATAATTGGTTACCCATCTGGAAGGAAATAAAACTAAAACCGTATCTTGTATGATGTACATAGAGAAACACATGAGTATAAGAAAATTCACAAATTTAGTTTGGCAAAAGTTCTCATAAACAAAGTTAAAGGATAAATAATAGAATTGTCCAAAAAAAGCAACATAAAAGACAGATGGAAGACTAATATCTATTGTATACATTGAGCTCTTCTATTTTGCCAAGCAGGGAGTGTTAAAAAAGAAAAAATTCAATGACAGTTGTTAAAGATGGTAAGGCAGTCTTTTTATAGGAACATCAAGATAGGTATAGGACTACTGTAGCAATGGAATTTTAGAGTTGGGCAAGAGATTGGGCTCAACTCCCAGTGTAGCATAGGCAAGTGGGAATTCACAAGTAAGTAGCAGGGTGGGGATCAGGAGTCACTTGGGAGATGGTGGAGACTAGGAACCTGATCAGATATTGAGAGTGGGAGGGTCTTGGTTAAACTGACTTTCCAGAGTTCTTGCTGAGACTAGATTTTACAAGGAAGTGCATAGGTGGGGCTAGGAGAAGTTTAAGCCTGACAGAAGTGTCGGTCAAGCAAAGAATCATTGTAAGAAGTAATCCAGTAGAAAATTGATAAAAAGGACAAAGAATGTGAAGAGACAATTCATAGATGAGTAAATCTAAATGAGCAACATGCTTATAGAGATACTCTAATAATAGTCTGGGAAATGCAAATTAAGGTAAGATGATTTTACATTTATCAAACGTGTTAGCAGTAGGTATTTAAGATGATAACACTGATTGGTGACAAGAATATAGGGAAAGGGTACAGAAACAGTGGTGAAAATAAAATTTCTTACAATATGAAAAGAAATTGGGTAAGATATATTGAAATTAAATTGTATGTATACTTTCAGGCAGAATATAACTTACAGGGAATATAACTTACGGAATATAACTTACAGGGGAAAAATCAATATTATATAAAAATACATATACAGAAATAGTTGGAGCATGACTTTGGGTGGCAGAAAACTGGAGTACACATCAATAGAGGAGCAGTTGCACAGACTGTTACAAATACACTGAAGTGTTAGAAGGGTTGAATTTAATAAGTTACATTTCAGAGTTGAAGGAATTTTTATGAGGTAGTATTAAGTGAAAAAAAAAAGGATACTATAGAGAGTTTAATGTGAAAATCTTTTAAAAAAAGAAAACAAAAGTCACGGCAGCTGGGTGCCTTAGTCAGTTACGCATCTGGCTCTTGATGTCAGCTCAGGTCATGATCTCATGAAGATTCTCTCTCTCTCCCTTTCTCTCCCCTTCCCCTCTCCACATCAAAAATAAGTTAAATAAATAAACAAAAATAAGACAAAAGTCCTCCATATGCTTATGTGTATATGTGTACTCTGTGTAATTTACTTGGACATGCAGAAAATAGGAATGGTGTATGTCATGCTCTTTGTTGACTTGAGCTCTTTCTAATTGGCTGCTATGCATTAGGAGAAGGAGAGGTGGAAGAAGAGAGAGGTAATGGAAAACCAAAAAAGCAAAATATAAGACTACTAAAAGAAAGTCAAGTATGTTACATGATCACATTTAGGGAGTTAAGTATATATACATATATATGATGATATAAAAATAATTCAAGGAAGAATATCACAGAAGTCTTCCTCTTTGAAACTGGTGGGGACACCTTCCCTCTATCAATTATTAACACCAAAGATCTTGAACCCTTAATGCTCTGTGTAATATATTTTTCCTGAAACTAGTATTTATGTTCTAGAAGAGTTGACATCACATGAATGAAGGATATGAAGGGCTTAAAACCTGAATTTCCCCCTCTCTTCACCACTCACTTCAGTTTCAGCTTCAGCCTCAAATCCCTGGGGGCACTTGGGTGGCTCAGTTGGTTAAGCTTCTGGTTTTGGCTCAGGTCATGATCTCAATGTCCTGGGGTGGAGCCCCACATTGGGCTCACTGCTCAGTGGGGAGGCTGCTTCTCTCTCTGCCTCTGCTTCTCCCCACAACTTGTACTCTCTCTCTCTCTCTCAAATAAATAAATAAATGAATTCTTAAATATGTAAATATCTTTTTCTGTCACCAAGTGACCAACCCCTAGGGAAGTGTCAATTTTTTATTTAGTTCTTAAATCAGCTCCATTGTTGCAGCTCTCACTTTACAATTAAATTGGTTCTAGGTTTTCTAATACCATTTATGCTAGAGTTCAGGTAAAATTAAGCATCAAGTAGGCTTTTGAGAGCTTACCAGGGAGAATAATCATAAGCTATAATCCTATTTCTAATAGGAAATTAGTGTATTGCACACTTAAAAAATGTGAAACCAAGCTGTTTGTAAATTAGGAACTATCTTAGTTAAAGAATTTTATAAATTATAAAGCTCATGTACAAATGTTAAACATGAGGGTGACCCAGTTTTGATTTAGTGGTAGTCTAAATTGGGTGTTATGATTGACTAGAATTATTTTCCTTCAGTCCTCACTGCTGCCTTGAGACCATCCTGGAGCTCTCTACTAAGCCAAAGTGACAAACCTTATAAAGTAGAGAAGGATCTTCTTCAGGCAAGGTTTTATTCATTTTTTATTATTGTTACCCTTATTTCTGCTGCAAGGCTAGGCTCTGAATTTTTACCTGCATTTCCAACCCTAAATAGGAACCACAGGTCATAAGAAGGTGGGAAAAGAAAGTTAACATTTATTGAGCATCTACCATGAGCCAAGTGGTTTAATCATTACAGTAACTATCAAGAGGATATTCCAAATGAGGATTTCACAGGATTAAATAATTTTCCTTGTCTAGCATCAAGTAAGTAGTGGAGATGGTTTTTAAAATATAGGTAGTAATTTTTCATTTTAACTTTTATTTAAATATAACAGATATACCAAACAGTTTATGAATCAGAACTGTTCGTTGTTGAATTTTCACAAAGTGAACACTCTGAAACCAGTCTCCAGGTCAGAAAATGAAACGTCACCAGAATCTCAGAAGCTACCCAGAGCATGCTAATTATCCTCTCCAGAGAGTGATCTCTCCTGATTTCCAGCACTTCTAACATCAGAGTAGTTTATATTACATCAGTTTGGACTGTTTTTGAACTTTATATAAATAGGATCATACAATATATCCTATTTTATGTCTGGCTTCTTTCAACTTTCTGTTTGGGCAGTTCATTGATATTGTTACATGCAGTTGTAGTTTGCTCATTCTCATTATTGTATAATACTCCATTGTGTGAATATACCTCAATTTGCTTATCCATTTAACTGGTAATGGACATTTGGATAATTTCCAATAGCTACTTAGCTATTATGAATAGTACTGCTATGAGCATTCTTATACACACATGTGTTTTAGTGCACAAATGTACACATTTCTGCTGAATGTATGCTTAGGAGGGCAGTCGCTGTGTCATAAGATTTGTGTTAGGAATTTTGAGTACTTTATATTCTTCTTAACTGCCAAACAGTTGTCCAAAATTGGTTATACCAATGTACACTCTAACCATCAGCCTATGGGAATTCTGACAGTTCTCATCCATTCTAACAGAGGCATTTTGAAACAAGGTTTCTGACTCTAAAACCCGATGCTCTTTTCCTTTTATCTAAATTTTATTTAAAGGTAAGAACTTGGTAACAATTTTCTTTTATAAATTCCATGATTCTTTCTAAGATTATTATTCTTTGTTCATTAAGTGAGTTTCCTTTTTTATACTGGAAAATATATCTGCGCTGAACAGAATTTAGCAGGGTCAGCAGTGTATCGGAGGCCTCACGCAAGTATTTATCTTCAGTGAGCCCAGCTTCTTCTATTTTCTCTGCATGGGTGAAAAGAATGGCAGTGTAATTCTTCCAAGCATGTCCCAGAAGTTCCTGAAAGAAAGAAGAAATTAAATGGCTATTTGACTTGGCCCATAGTCCTCAAACACAAGCAAAGGATAGCTTTTAGACATATATTAGTTATTAGACATATATTAGATATAGACAGTCAACAGATCTGGATGTCTGTCATGTTACTAAAAGCTGATATATGTAATAGGAAGTGAAGATGGGGTCAAATAATGGAAAAAAATAGAGAGATGGGCAGAGTTTGTTAAAAAAAAAGGCTTTCTTCATTTTAATTTGCTCTTATAATTTATGTATATACAACTTCAGAACTGCGTATTATTAATGCTGCATATGATATGATTTCATTCACAACAATCAGCAATAATTTATATTTACCTGCCAACCTGAAGCTATTAGAACTACAGTTCCTTTAAGTCAAAGGACTTTGGCCAAGGGAATTATCCTATCTTTTTTTGTAGGAATGTTGTGTTATTATCATAACTAAAAGTATCTTCTGAGGATTTATAATTACATAATCTGGTTACAATCTATTGATTAATCAGATGACATGTAATGGAAAAGCTAAGATCAAATTACATTTAGTGATTTGGAACAACTACAAAATATTACTGTGATTCGAATCCTCTTCACTTCACATGCCAGAATCAAGCCCAGTTTATCAGATGACTTCCTCTAATGTGGTTGAAAAACATTGAAGACTGGTATTCCTTTGTTTAGTAATGTGTGGAAGTTGGTTATGGAATAAAGTCTTGTTTGATTAGTGAAAATAAGCTGATATAAAATGGAAGCAACAGAATGTGGCAAATTGTTCACACAATGTGGAAGGTGTCTAGAAATAATCATTTAACATTTTTAATATTCCAAAAGTTATAGGAAATCATGACATTGTGGAAGTAAAATGACATTCCTTTCATTCCAAATATTCTTGTTACCAAAATATTTTCAAAGGTGCTACCAGTTTGTAATAGCAATTTGGAGTTTAGACCCTCACCATCATCTTAAGTAGAAGGTTTAAGGTATTTTATTTTTGAGTCTTCAGAAAAATATGAAATACTTAGGAATAAATATAACAAATATAACAAATAAATATAATAAATATAACAAATATAACCTCTAGGAATCAGAAGGAAGAAAGAAGGGAGAATAACTAATATTTAATGGTAGATACTATGCTCGTCACTTTACACACTTTATTCCTTTTGAAATTCAACACAATGATTTGTGGGAGATAATACAAACTCGGATTTAAAAAATCTGAAAGACAGGTTGGAAAACTGTTTTCAATGTATATAACAAATGTAGGATTGGTATTTATAAAACTGAAAAACTGAAAATGAAGAGAGAAAGAGGAAGAGAGAGAAAGGAAGGAAAGGAGGAAGAATCCAGACAGGTAAATAATATGGAAATATAGCAACTGTGGGACAATATATTTAAATTTAAACATATCTAGACCATGGTTACCAATTACGATTCCTAATACAATTTGTCATTTATCAGAGCTATGTATTTATGTATTCATCTCTGTGAGCTTTTGGAAGGAAGAATCTATGTCTTTCTTATCAAAGCCTCACGTTGTAAACTCTCAATAGAAATTGGTTGGACCAATTTGGAGTTTGGAGCCTCACCATCACCTCAAACAGAAGGCTTAGGGTTTTATTTATTTGTTTTTGAGTCTTCAGTTTTGAAGTTTAATCTTTGGGACACAAAATTTACCTTCCTGTAAAATTTCTCCTTTGTTCTATAGTTCATGCCCATGGATTTGCATGTAGTCTGTACTTTCTCTTTTGTATTCAGACTCTCTCAATGAATAAGTCCAAAATTTTTCCTCATAACTGTTTAAAATTTGTCTGCACCATAGAATAATTGTATATTTCTGGTTCTCCTAAAAGTGCCCTGCCTGAAGAAAATCTGAATTGAAGTTTCAGGATCAGTACATTAAATGAATAATAATTTTTTTTTAAGATTTTATTTATTTATTTGACAGAGAGAGATCACAAGTGGGCAGAGAGGCAGGCAGAGAGAGAGAGGAGGAAGCAGGCTCCCCGCTGAGCAGAGAGCCTGATGTGGGGCTCCATCCCAGGACCCTGAGATCATGACCTGAGCCGAAGGCAGAGGCTTAATCCACTGAGCCACCCAGGTGCCCCAATAAATAATTATTTTTAATAAATTCTAAACCTTATAAAAAAACTTTTAAAAGGGTATTTTAATTGGTATATTCTTATGTGCCCTCAAAACATAAATTAGCAAAATTTAAATTAACCCAACTTTTAAAGAAGATAGCCGTTTGTAAATCTAATATATGTGTAATGTCAACATCACATTTTAGCTAATAGTGACATAGCAACATTTGTCATACTTAGTATGTTGTAATGTATTTCTTGTGAAAAAGATCAAAGAGTCGCAAAATAAACAGGTGCTATGGTTTGAATTGTGTATCCCACTCCAAACTCATATGTTGAAATCCTAACCTCTAGTACTTCAGAATGTGACTTTATTTGGCATAGGGTTGTTGCCAATATAATTAGTCAAGTTAAGGCCACAAATGCAATGCGATTGGTGTCCTTATAAAACAGAGAAATATGGACAAACATATGAATACAGGGGAAAATGCCATAAAAACATAAAGAAAGAAAGTCAAGACCCTTGGATAGATTCTTCACTTATAGCCCACAGAAGGAATTAATCCTGCTAATGTTCATTTCAGATACCTAGCCTCCAGAACTGAGAGATAATACACTTCTGTTGCTTAAAAGACACCCAGGTAGTGAAATTTGTTATGGCGGCCCTAGCAAATTAATACAAATAGTTGAAAACTTTATGAAGTGCTAAATAGATCTAGATTCTGGGACTAAAGAGATTTCTGGGTTATGTACATCAGAACCACTTGAGATGCTTGCTAAAAATGCATCAGAATTTTTAGGGATGGAACCTGGGAATTTGAATTTTAAGAAGAACTCCAGGTGATTTATTCCTTCTGCAAAGATTTACTGAGGGTTACTTTGTTTCAGGAACACAGAGTGGACCATGACATACACTTTTCTGCTTATGTCTAGTGGAGATTCTTTTGTACTAACTTAGAACTGAGAAAGAGGGACAGACAGGAAAGAAAATACTTTCCATTTGTTGTAACTGCAGGTATTGTGATAGAAAATATATTGGTGCTATAGAGGCAGACATTTGGCCTGGTTTGGGGTGGGGGTGGAAAGTGAAGGTAAAGGGAGGAGTCAGATGCAGTTTCTAGCATGTGATGATGCTTCAAGCATAGGAATCAACAAGAGACTTATAGGGCAGTGAAGATGTACAAAGTAAAGAGAGTGATTGAGCCTTATTGGGGATTGTATAGTGTATAGTATTGGGAGTTCTCTAAAGTGAAATTATTGATCCTTGAACATTCTTATCTCTGAAAGTTTCACAAATTTAGAGCCAGTTCTAATATTCACCCAGTATTGATCTGTTTATTTTGATGGTTATAATATTGAAATGTATATTACAAGTTAATAAATAGACACTACCCTTAACCTCTTGAGTGCTACCTCCAGGTCTACCCCCTGGGTTTTGGTTGATGCATGAAACACATTTGTCATTAAATATTTTTTGAAACATCACCATAATAAAAATTCATGCTAAATAAACTGTTTGGCCCAAGTGATCCCTTCCTGAGTTATATATTATAATATAGAATTCTTCTCTTGCTAGGTGAGTACTCATTGCGTTCAATGGTATAACTGTATAACTTTCACAGTATATCTTTAGTTCCTGGTTTTCTGGGTTGTAACATTAACACATTCCCTTTTTGTCTCCACCAGAGATTTCCTCTACTTTAAACTATAATAACATTCATGGAAAATCAGTTAAACCACCTAAGGAAAATAGATTTGTAAGCTCAACACCACTTGCAAGTCCTTGTGTTCAGCCACTGGGAAGTTTTTACATGTTGATAGTTATTTATGAAAGGATGCTCATGTCCTAAACTGTGAGAGAAATTGCACTTTTGAATTACTGCCAAAAATAGAAGAGAATGGTTGATTTAGCTTATAATCTTTAGATTGATTTTTGGCTGGAAAATAGTTGACTATTTGAAAGTAGTGTCGCTTGGTGTATAGTCATCACGTTAGTGGCCAAACGTGTTCTCTATGGACCCAGAGAAAGAATAATCACAGTTGATTGATACCTCACATAAAAATCCAAGAGTAAGATGAGTTAATGTAAGTTATCTGGTGTTAATAATTTAAATATAGTACTAAGCTAGATGGAAATTTTACAATCAATCATGAATTGTTTGGTTTCAGAGTGCTAATGGGTATGAGTCCATCTAGTCCTTTTGGGATAACTAGTTAGGATATAAACTGTGTTTTCCAGGAATTATGTTCATTTTCCCAGGACCTCACCAGCCCTGCCCCATTTGTTTGTGGTTGATGAAATCATAGCATCTGGACTTTTTAGGGGGAATTTTTTAAAAAGCCAACTATTACATCAACTGAGAAAAAAATTATCATGGAACAGGAGGACAATAAGGACCATTCTTTATATTTCATACTATTCCCTTACTCTCATCCCACTTAAAGCACCACATTTCTTTTGCCGAGAGCTGAATGATAAGACTTTGTTAGATCAGATTCAGTAAATATTCAACCTTAGAGATCTTTTGTCCAAATTGGCATATTTTATAGAAGGGAATATTGTGACATGCGATGTTAAATGGCCAAAGCCTCACAGCTGGACTGTTGGCAGGCCTGGGCCTATAACAGAGGTCCCCTACCTGCCTAGACCATGTCCTTCCCACTAAATTGGAGCTTCTTACTTTAACCTTTACTAAGCCAGTGAATTTTCTTCCTGGATTTTTTTTTCTAAATTAATAGGGAAGTTCTTATACATCAGGGCTGTGTAAACTTGATTTCACTCTGAGCAAGATAATCCTGAAGAAGTTTACAAATAATATGTCTTAATTTTAGTGTAAGACAAACATTAACAATAAAATTATAATGACCATAGATGACACTTAGTGTGCACTCATCTTGTGCTAGTGCCCGAGTTAATTTACTATTACGTTAATATGAAATTAGTCCTGAAAATAACCCAGTCAAGTAGACATTATTATTTTTCCCAATTTACCAATGAAGAGATTGAAATTTAGAGAAGCTACTTGCCCGAGGTCCCAAAGCAAACAAGTAACTAAGTAGGATCTTGACCACAAGTATAACTTACTCTAGAAGCCATGCTGTTATCTATAATAGATTGCTCATATCCAGTAATTCAACTGAATGAGGTACTCATTACAATCTGCGTAGTGATAAAAACAATAAAAATGTTAACAATGATAGTAATTTTCTATGAATCTCCTCTAAGTCAAGGAAAATGCAGAGTGTATTACATCATTAAACAAAAGCCTTAAAACTCTTGAACATAGGTAAAATTATCCTCATTTTAAAAGTGAGGAACCGAAGCCAAGAAACTCGTAGTAATATTTATAGTCACATACTTAGAATTGTAAGAAGGCTTATTTTTCAACTAAATTCTATCCAAGAACTAAGCTTGTTATCTTTGTTAAGTATTTTCAGGCTTTGCATTCGCCTCTCTGAGCCGTTTGTGTACACACCCACCTGAACACCGACATTTGAGTTGTTCATTCTAAATAAAAAATATCTGCTTAAAGCCTGATTATGTACAGTAATAATACATGATACCATGATAGTGGAAAAAATTTGAGTCAATTCCTGGATTCAATTCCTAGTGCAGTTTGGCTGATTGCTAGCACTTTTCTTAAGGTGATTTTATTGTCTTCTCTTATTCATTATTTGTGGATTTTAAAATAATATTTAAATGATATTCAGATAATATTTAGATGAATCATTCCCTTTATTTCCCAATTTTGGGGAGATGACTCACATCTCCACCATTTTGCTATAAATTATGAACGCCTAACATAAATTTAAAAAAAAAAGGATCATTTGGGGAAATGTTTCATTTGTCATTGCTGGCAGCCTATAACCCCTCTAAAAAATATTAGAGCACAAATTAAAAGAGATATTTGAAGAGACCACAGGGAGGTACAAGAAAGAAGAGGTCACTTCTCTGGCACTGGCCTTGTAGGCTCCTTCCAAGGCAGGCATGAGTGCCGCCAGAAAGGAGGAAAGCAAAAGGGAGAAGGCAGATATTTCATCCCCCATTTTGCATAAGCCAGGAAGAAAAAGAAATCCAGGGTGTGTCTGGAACCAAGAGGACCTTAACAACTCCTTGCTCTTCCTAACAGCTGTTGGTCCTGTTGAATATTCAGACATTCTGCAGCTGCTCCTAATCTGTGAGCACATCCAGATGGCTGCCACCAGTAACTGAAGCACCTTCAGGAAGAAGGTCATAAACAGCCAGCTTGTGCATAGGCGATCTTCAACCAAAAATTATGATAGAAGCTCAGAATAGGACTGCAGTGCCTCCCAGGGGTCATGGGCCCCTCTGTAGGTTACTAAATCTTGGCTTCTCAGTTTTCCTGGGAGGGAAAAGATATTTATTTTAGAAAAAAAAAATTCTGGATCTGAGTTTAACTGTAGCCCATCTCCTCTCTGCCTTTAAGTCATGAACTGGACACTGAATTAAGAAAGCAGTGGTAAGAGAAGGCGGCTGTATGCCAGGGACTTTTTAAAAAGATCAGAGGCATATATGAATCAAATTCACTTGTATAAAAAAAATTAAGGATTACAATAGAGCTCTATATCCTAAAACTGGAAAAAAGTCTATTTTTAAAAGGTATGTCTTTTTTTTTTTAAGATGTTTTATTTATTTGGCAGAGAGAGAGAGAGAGAGAAAGAGAGAGAGAGAGAGAGAGCACATAAGCAGGAGAAGTGCCAGGCAGAGGCAGAGGGAGAAGCAGACTTCCTACTGAGCAGGGAGCCCAATGATGCAGGGATCGATCCCAGAACCCCACCATCATGACCAGAGCCGAAGGCAGATGCTAAATTGACTGAGCCACCCAGGCACCCTTAAATTGTATGTCTTTTAAAATACCCTTTTCAGCTAAGCATAGGACGAGCATAGAGAACAATCTGGAGACATAAGGAAAGAGGTTAGTTTTTGAGAAATATTTGTGCATTTGCTGAGTTTACTGATTTATATCCATCTGTACCTTCAACTTAATAACAGCTTTAAATGAACTTTAAAACTTATTTAAAAAATTACACTGGTGGAATGGCAACAGGTTTTCCCTCACTTGATTTCTACCAGAAATATTGTTTGAAATGTAGTCTTTAATCGTTTGGGGGAAGTTAGTGGGTTGTCTTAGATTCCACATTGTTTCTTAATTGCAATCATCTTCTCTTCTTTGCTTTTGCACAGCATGTCCTTGATTTTTCAGGAGTTAGATGATGAAGAATATTTTTTATACTCTTGTCACCCTAATTTTTTCTGCTAGTTTGTTGTGATTTCACATATGGCTCTTTTTTTTTTTTCCATTTTTAGAAACATGCAGTTACTGAAAAAAAAGTGTGTCTGTCATTTAGATCAATCTTATGCCTTAACAAGTTAAAGGGAAAAAATATTTATTTGAATCTAAGGATACTATCTTTCTAAGTGTAACAGATCTTGTATCTATGTGATCAGAGATTGGTTGAAAGAAGAGTATCATTTATACAAATTCTTGAGTGAAAAAATGTCTGCTCTGTATTCTCCCTGTAGTTTACCTGTGGAGCTTCTCGTAGTGAAGAATTCTCTTAACCTTGGTGACTTAATGAGGCTACTGAGTAATCCTAGTCAAGTCCAACGGTTAAATTTGGGTGGCCCCAGACTAGAGAATCGAGAGATGAGTAGAATGGAGCAGCTCAATGAGCAGTTTCCAGGAATTGTTGGTTATAGATGGACCTGGTTCATACATGTGTATGTACCATATGCAAGCATTACTCCCTCCATCTCCTAGTTATAGCCATATTCATAAGCCCGCCCTATTCCCAGATCCTTACCTAGACTGGTTAAACAAGTTTCCAATTTAGTGACTTCTAATAAATGAACAAACCACTAGGCAAGGGTGGCATATGTTATTCAGGTTCACGCTGAGGTCTCTGTGGTCTTTTCTTGGCTACAGTGAATCAGTTGCTGACCCTACAGATGACGAGGCACTCAGAGCATCTGAAATTCCTGATGTCTTTCCTATCAATAAAGCCACAGTGAAACCTACTTTATCCCAGGCCATACATTATACTACTTTGGCACTTAGTGTATTGTCTTGTACTTGTTTATCCATTTGTCTCTTCTAGAATGTAAGTTTTTTAAGGACAGGACTGATATATTGTTCATCAGTCATTAAGCTCTATATAAGTAACTGATACAGTTTTTAATGACTAAATCAGTGAATGAACACCCCTTTGTTGGTAAACTATAAGAGATTGTGCTCTTGATGTTAAATGGATATAAGTTTTAGTAGTTCTTAAACTTTGCTATTAAAAAAAAAATGGACCATTTATGCAAATGCAGGTATGCAGGTTCTACTCTTGAAATTCAGTATGGCTTGGATGAATATGCATTTTTAACAACAGCCCAGTTGATTCTGAAGCTGGTGGTCTGAAGAACATAATTACAAATTCACTCATGGGTCAGTTAACCTCTGAAGTCTAGCATCTTACTTGGGGATGCGGAGGAGTTTGTCTGTGACCTAGATGTAAAATGACTAACTGAATTCCTCTAAAGGAAATTGTAAAAATGACTCTTGGTAGGAAAAATCAAGTAATTTTTACCATTTCTATGTGACCAACACTTATTTTTTTGTCTCTCTTTCTCTTTTTTTTTAATGTTATGTTTGTCACCATATAGTACATCATTAGTTTTGGATGCAGTGTTCCGTGATTCATTGTTTGCGTATAACACCCAGTGGTCCATGCAATACGTGCCTTCCTTAATACCCATCACCCAGCAGTTGCTTTAAACTTGCTCTAAACTAGTCTTTTAAACAGATTGTCATAGGATAATGTTCTCCAAATAGAAATAATGGCATTAGTGTAATTGCCTTTTTGTATTACCTGAATCATCTGGACTGAGGAAGATGCTTCTTGTCCGCAGAGAGGCACGTCTGCTCTCTGGACCAGCAGTGCAAGATGGAGACCCTCTTGCCCAAAGTGATGTGCCAGAGCCTCCTTGACTTCCTGTTTCACATGCTCCTGTTTCAGCCTGCTGTGTGGATAACCTGGAGTGTCCAAGACCTGGATCTGCAGGGTTATCTCTTGCCCCCCTCGACGCATGAAGCCACAGAGGTGACAACTGCGGCCCAGACAACAATCTTTGGTTACAGAACATGGAGAAAAGCTGCTGTGGAAATCAGTGCTTCCCAGAAGAATGTTCCCAGCAGAACTTTTTCCACTTTGAGTCATGCCAAAGAGGGCCAAGTTGAGGATCATCTTGTTAGAGTCTGTCATGTCTGTGGGTAAACAAAGGTTCAGCATAAGCAGTTAGGCTTCAATATTCACCCAATGTAAGCCTTCTTACTTGGCCTGGAACATTCCTGGTACTACTTTTGGCTTACTTACCCCTCATTCATAGTGACTAAAGCATGGAGGGGTGCTCCACTAAAGTGGAGACACCCCAATGAGAACAGGAAGATTAAAAGAATATTGGTAGTTTGCAATGGGAGAGGAGGGAGAAGTCAAATACAGACAAAGAAGAGACGAGGAAGCAATAATTGCAGGAAAATGAGCAGGAAAAAAACAAATTACATGAAGATGATGTAAACCATGTTTAGGAGGAATGTGTTAACTCATCAATGTGGCAGGTGAGTCGGTTTAGCAATGGGTGCTGAGGTTTCTGGGTTCATTAATGAGCTAGCATCAATATTTGAAAATAAATCACTTTTGGAGGAGAAGTAGGAACAGAAGAGTGGAAGAAATGGATCTTTCTGGCATTTTAAAAAACATCCCCAACTTCCCCATCTCCCCACCCCTGGAATACACAGAATACACAAATGGCATCTGCAAAAAATGATCTTTCCTGACTTCCTGAATGTTTGTCTCCTATGAAGCATGAATACTGTTAAAGAAGATTTCTGTTTTTGTTTACGTTTTTTTTTTTTTTTACAACCAGGCAACATTCTGATGAAAATGAGAACTGCTTGTAATTTCTGTTATGAAATAATTAATAAATCATTTCCATGATCTACCATAGTAACTTACTGGCTTTTGAATAAAGGAAGTAAAGCCCAACACATTGTGTAGCTCAATTAAGAGGGAGGAGAATCTTGGGAGAATCTATTCCATTTACTGCCCCCCTAAAATGGAGGTAATCTTTTGTGTAGAACATAAGAATTTTTCCTAAAGATTTTATTTATTTGTTTGACAGAGAGAGACACAGTGAGAGAAGGAACACAAACAGGAGGAGTGGGAGAAGGAGAAGCAGGCTTCCCATGGAGCAAGGAGCGCAAGTATGCAGGGCTTGATCCGAGAATCCTGGGATATGACCTGAGCTGAAGGCAGATGCTTAAGGACTGAACCACACAGGTGCCCCTAGAACATAAGCATTTTAAAGTCATTGATCATTTTCATTAGATCAGAAAGACAGAGCTATAGCCAATTGCCAAAGGAACGCAACCTGCTGATTCAGAAGTAAGGACATTTAATTAAAATTGCATATTTAGGGGCATCCGGGTGTCTCAGTCCTTAAGCATCTGCCTTTGGCTCAGGTCATGATCCTAGGGTCCTGTGATGGAGCCCCACATCGGGCTTCCTGCTTCCTCACATTCCCCTCCCATTCCCCCTGTTTGTGCTCCCTCTCTCACTGTGTCTCTCTCTGTCAAATAAATAAATAAAAAATCTTTTAAAAAATTGCATATTTATTATTTTTGCTTATAACTTCTACTTCTATTATTCAGTTTTATATACCTTTGGCCTTTCTTGTCCTCTATTGTCCCTCACTCCAATCTCCCTAGACTCTAATATGAACATTTTGAAGTAACCTCACACCGACATACAAAAGACACTCATTTTTGGAGTCCCTCAAGGTGACCCCAATTTACCCAGTTCATTCAGCTGTGTCGGCTGAACCACAGTCACTCAAGTTTCTTTTTACTCCTGAATCAAATGCGTGATTAAAAAAGAATAATTATTATAGAGTCTCAATAACTTGCTATATGTCACCTACCTTTTCCAATCTTAGAAATACTTTTTCCACAAAGACTTCCCTGGAACTGGTACAGTTGTTCTTTGGTATAAACTTTAACCTTCTGACAGTGTCACCATACCACTCTGGGACTGACACTGTATGTATTTTATTAGGTTAATCTATTACCAGAATCCTCTCCATAAATGGTTCTTTGTCTTCCTCTAATCAGCACTGAACTGTTTTTGTCATCTGATAGGCTGAACATTTCAACAGATACTTCCTGAAACTATTTTCAAGATTAAATTATTTGTTTTAGGGCATTGCTGATAGGTAATACCTTCTTTCTAGCATAAATAAATGCAAAATTGACAACTATTTTTTTAAGCCATCCTTTTCTCTCTTTTTATTTTATTTTTTTTAAGATTTTATTTATTTATTTGACAGAGATCACAAGTAGGCAGAGAGGCCGGCAGAGAGAGGGAGAAGCAGGCTCCCTGTTGAGCAGGGAGCCCAATGTGGGACTCTATCCCAGGACCCTGGGATCACGACCTGAGCCGAAGGCAGAGGCTTTAACCCACTGAGCCACCCAGGCACCCCCAAGATTGACAACTATTAAACACAAACTAGACGTTCAAAAGCAATGGTCACAATTTTTCCATTGAAAATGATAGAACGTTTCTCATTTACACTACATCAAAAGTTTCAACAAATAGATATGCAATGTAAATGCAATCAAAAGATATTGATTTCATAGCAGTATTTAGTTCAAAAATTCTATAAGAAAATGCTTCGCTATTTCCATGGAATTGAAATTATCTTATCCTAATTGATGCAATCACTAACATGCTTGTATCTATCTGCACATGTAGTTTCCATATCAATTAATGATAGCATATTTCAGAAAAGGAGTACAACTAACTACAAATTGAGGCCAAATACATTTTGCTTAAAATTGGGGTTTCATCTTGTTGTTGAAAGCTTTAATTTTTTCTCTGTGTAACACATACTTTTCCAACTATCTCTTTAGTGTGTAAGATGTAGAAACCTTAGTATGGTTATATTCTGGTTCATCTTCTCCTATACCTCTCAAAAAGTCTGTGAAGTATATATTTCTGTGTGAAGGAATCTTGGAGACATCTGGAATGCCTTATGACTTCATGGGCAGAAAGTTAAAAAGTCTTCTTCCTGTGTGGCTATAACAAGGAAAACATGAACTGTTTTCATTCATCTGACAAGCACATTTGTCCTTCTTGAATGAAGCAGAAAGAATCTCCCCCAGGTGGCAGTAGTAGCCTGTTTCCTAAGAAGTAATTTTGAACCAGAATTTATTTCATTTTCTTCTTCAAACCATAAACTGACATTCTTCAAATAGGCAACCTACATCAACACATATTAATTGTGTGGAAGATCTTTTGAATAAAGGTAAAATGAAGCCATCTTTCCCATGTTTTGTATAAAATGTGACAAGTGTAGAAGGTTCTTAGTTTTCAAACCCTCCACTTTGCAATCATAGCTTAAATCATTTGCTGAATGCAATAGTTGACAGTTTAACAAATAAAGTTCAGAGTTCATATGTGTGGTTAAAATTTCCAATGAGGCTGCAAAATTTAAAAATAATTTCCAACAGGTTTAATGATAGTTTTAGATCTAAGCCAATTTAGAGATTATATAGAAGGGTAGTGTATTGTTACTAGATGATGTTAAATAATTGATGCTAATTCTTTTTGGATCAGAGTGAAAAAGCAACTTGAAAAATTACCTTCGCTCTTTACTGAAACTTGGCTAAATATAATGTAGCTGGGATAAAACTGTATTACTTTAATGGCTGGCTCTAGAATATCTCTGACAAAGGAAATTGTGTTTGAGAAGATAGTTGGATTAGCTACTTGAAGTAGAAAAGGGGATCCTGATAACATAAGTCAAACTCACAAAAAGTGATGGCCAAACTGCTGGGAATGAGGGAAGAGCCAAGAAGAGAGCAGAGAAGATCCAGGTATACCAAGAAGGGTTGGAGGGAAGGAGGGAGAGAGAGATAAAAGGGAAAAGGAGAAGGTAATGGGAGACATTAGAACATGGCCAGACTCTGGATTTTCCACTTGTGCAAATGGTTAAAGGACTTTGTTAGAGCAGAGATAGCTAATGTTCAATTTTAAGTTCTTTGCATTTCTGGAATATAAAGTAAGCTGTGTTCATGATTATTTTGTATGAGGATGGATTTTTTGTTTGTTTGTTTTTGGTTGTAGTTAGCATTTTACTTTATTTTATTTTGTTTTGATGGAAATTAATGGAGAAACCTGAGATCCTCCCCAGGTTAGCACAGGATGAAGACCACAGAAGGTGGATATTGGAAATGACATCTGAAGTGAAGTAACTGAGGAAAAGGAGGAGGTTGAAGCTAGGAGACTAGTCCCTAAGAGCCTGCGAGAATCTTGGGAAGGATCTTAGACTTTACACAGTCTCTGAAATGAGATATTATATGGTAAGGATGACTCTAGTTGACATGAGTAAAAATTATATTTCAAATTACACACATAAGCACAGTATTAATTTGCTAGATCTATCATAGCAAAGTATCATAGACTGAGTGGTTTAAATAAGAAAAGTTAATTTTCTCACAGATCTTGAGGTTAGAAGTGTGAGATTAGGCTGTCAGTGGGGTTGGTTTCTCCCGAAGCCTCTCTCCTTAGCTTGTCATGGTCATCTTCTCCCTGTCTCTTCACATGGTCTTTCCTGTGTATGTTGTGTCCAGTTTTTTTCATTTTAGAAGGACACCAGTCATAGCAGATTAGGGCCCACCATAATGACCTAATTTTAACTTAATTACCTCTTTTAAAGGCCATGTCTCCAAATACAGTCATGTTCTAAGGTACTAGAGGTTAGGATTGTAACATATGAATTTGGGAGATACATGATTCAGCTTGTAATGCACATGTACACACATTATATTAACATTTGTGCATATATGTATACATTATAATTATATAAATTATACATCTTTATACTCACTAAAATTGTGTCTCTATAATCCATAAAATTGAGGTTTATTATAAGCAGTTCTTGATTTATGGCAATTTGACTTAACAGGTACTCTCATAGTTGTAAACAAACTACAATTTTCATTGGCTTGAACTGTGAACACATTGCTCATTTGTTTTTTTTTTCTTTTCATAATAAAGAAGACCCTTAGAATAATAACCAGAGTCTGTAATTATGATGTCTAAATGGCCTTAACCTTGACTGACACTGTTATAAGTGTAGGGGAGCACTGATAAGCTGGTTATAGTTGGTGGTAACTTAATTTTCTCTGTCTGAGCTGATCTTGGACTAAGACAACAGATCTTACTTTTCCAAA